TGGATGGATACTTGGGTGGGCAGATAGGTGGACGGGCAGACAGATGCAGTATCACTTACCACGAGTTGGGTGAGGAGTGTCTGTGGGGAGATGATCAGGGCGGCTGGGTTAAAGGGGACAAGAAGGGAACAGAGTCAGCTCACCTTCAGCTCTCCTTCACTACCCCAGACAAGAAGAAAAGGCAAGGCGGAAAGAGAGCAACTGCATGCTGGGGGCTGGGGGCTTGAAAAAACAAACCCCAAGTCACATGCTGAGTGGACCCTGGTCCTGGGGCCCATGGGAGGCCAGGGATGGAGGCCGGGCAGTGTGAAGAGCGAGGGGTCAGAACATCTCTGTAGTAACCCACGCCTGGCGCCACTGGTTTCAATGAGAACCAGGCCCATGTGGCAGTGTGCGTCTGTAATCCCAGCAGTTGAGAGCTAGGGCAGGAGGGTCCTGAGTTCTAGGCCTCAGGCTTCCGGCACCCAGGGCCTTAGCTGGTACCTGACTACCCCCATGCTACAGCTGGAACCCTCTCTTCCACACCCCTGCAGGGCCTCAGCGATGGGGTGGGGGGAGGGGGGCTCTCCGGCTGCCCCTGGCCCAGACACACCCCTTCCTGGCACTCACGGCTGCGGTGGAACTTGCTGAGGTAGGGGAAGTGGCCCAGGGCCGAAGACTGCACGGCGATCTCGGTGGCCGCCTTACTCAGGATCAGGAAGGCCTTGAAGTTGGTGGGGTGACACACGAAGTTGACCAGTTTGGGCAAGGGCAGCTGGCAGGGGACATGGGGGGGACTTTAGTGACAAGGCCTCATGGGTCCCCAGCCCAGTTCTCCAATCCCGAGACCTGGTGTTCCTTTAGAGCCCCATCAACCTAGCCTCTTCCCATTCGCTCTTATTCCCCCCACTCTCCCCTCCTCCGGCCCTCTCTCCCACTCTCTCTCTCTCTCTCTCCTGCTCTTTCTTTTACTCCCTCTCTCCCTCCCTCACCCCAGATTAATAAAACACAAGCCACGATCCTCCGTGAACTTATACTAAGGAGGACTCCCTCTGGCGGCCTCTTCCCTCTGGGCAGCCCATGGATCCTTCCAGATTCCTGGAAGGCGATCCCCGACCCACAGCCCATATCTGCTTCCCCCCCGCCCCCCTCCGCCTTCATTCCAGGGACCCAGAGCAGCCCAGAGGACCACTTGCTCTTGATTTACAGCTGGGAGCTGGCTCAGGCCCGCAGACCCCTCGCCCAGCGAGTTCCTCCCCTTCCCAGGAGCCCCTCTACGGGCCCAGCTAGAGTGGGAGTGTGGGAGGGACAGGAGAAGACAGAGGGGAGGGGCGTGAGACAGGCGGCGGAGACGGGAGGCCCCCACTTTGGCCCTAGCTGCACTACCATCTTCAGGATCCTCAAGCACAATAGCTGCATGTCCTCTTCATGCTGTGGGGGAGAGAGGAGGGGAAATGAACCCCACCGCCCCGCACCCCCATGAACCTCCCCCCCACCCAGCCAGGCCAGCTAGCTGAGTCTGACGCCAGCCTTCCCCTAGCTCTCCCAGGTCAAGTGGGTGGATTCTGAGGCCCCGCCCCCTTTCCCCGCAGGCCCCGCCCCTGGACCACTCACAGAGAAGTCCCACTGGCTGAGCTTGATGATGTAGGAGATGATCACATTGCCCTGGGGTAGGCGCAGGTAGCCATACTCGGCCAGAATCTCCAGGAAGCCAAGCAGGGCCATCCGCACCTGTCACCCGTACAGCAGGTCAGGGGACAGGGACGGGGACGGGGGGGGGGTAGGGTGGGGAGGGGTCCTCCTGCTCTAGGTGAGGACAGAGAACCGAGCAGAACGGGGAGGTCACCCAGGACCTCGGCCCTCCCCACTGCAAGCTTCAGTGAGCCGTCTGTGGGCCTTGCTAGCACGAGGCCAGGCAGGTACTACTGCCTGACCTGCAAGTTCCAGCCCTTGTCAGCTCCCTCCATCCTCCTGGGGGGCAGGAAGTCCTTCGTGGGCTCGGAGAGATCAAAATGGCAGGAATCGCTATGGAGGGAATCGCTGAGCTGCAGAGATGCCTGCAGAATTGGGGGGAGGGGGAGAAGATTAGACCAGGAGCTCTAAGACCGAAACCCAAGGAACCAATCACCCAATCACTCCACGGGACGAGGGGCCGGATGGACACTTCTCAGAAGGAGGATAAGGGGCTGATAAATCCACCAACAAAGGAGTGGAAAGGACTCTGGGGTTCCATCTCGACGCGGGGCAGAATGGTGGCCCCTGGCCTCTCTTCCCCATCCTGGCCCCTCCCCACCCCCACATCCATTCTCCACCCCACTAACGCTTCCCGCTCACCTGCCCGAACTCCTCCTGGATCACCACAATGACAGAGTTCATCACCTGCCGCTTGAGCAGCTCTGTCTGATTCACTAGGGAAAACAGGCAGGCAATTAGAGTGGGGTCCGCAGCCCCCAGGGGAAGAATCCTGGACACAGACCTTGCTTCCTTGGACAGGGTCCTCCAGCCCGAGCTGGGGGGGGAGGGCATCTCTGCCAGGGCCCCCGCCCCTCCCCCAGAGCTGGCCACTCAGAGCTCAGCCGCCCCGCACCTCTCCACCTCTGCCTTGACCTTGTCTCTGCTGTGGCCTCCCTCTCCTGACCTCTGTGCTTCCCATCTCCTTCTGGCCTTTCCACTTGGTCTCTCAGGTAACACAGCTAACCCAACCAACCAAGCAGACAATGAATCGATCGGTCCATCGATCCACTGATCTCTCTCTCTCTCTCTCTCTCTCTCTGTATCCTGGCCAGTGTGCTAATAAGCACACAGCATAAGCTTAACACAAGAGAGAGCACACTTAGAATCATAGGCAAACCACAGAACCACAGAACGCAGGGCCTCTTGCTTGCTTGGCTGGTGCTCTACCACTTGATCCGTGCATCCAACAGTTCGTATGTGTGTGTGTGAGAGAGAGAGAGAGAGAGAGGAAGTGTGTGTGTGTGTGTGTGTGTGTGTGTTGGGGATTGAATTCAGGGCCTCACACCTCACACTCTTGGCTTTTTTCACTAAAGGCTCTACCAGTTGAGCGGCAACTCTACTCTGGCTTATGTTTTGTTTTTGTTTTTGTTTTGGCTAGTTGTGGAGTTTGATTGAACTCTGGGCCTGGATGCTATCTCTGAGCTTCTTTTATTCAAGGCAAGCATTCTACCACTTAAACCACAGCGCCACTTCCGGCTTTTTGGTGGTTCATTGGAGATCAGAGTCTCACCAACTTTCCTGCCCAGGCTGGCTTTGAACCACAATCCTCAGATCTCAGCCTCCTGAGTAGCTGGGATTACAGGCATGAGCCACCAGCGCCCGGCTCAGCTGGTTATTTTTGAGAGAGGGTCTATTATAAGCTTTTCTGCCCAGGCTAGCTTTGAACTGCAACCCTCCAATCTGAGCCTCCGAGCAGCTAGGATTACAGGCACGAGCCCCACAGACTCCTGGCTGTAACTGTTTTTAACTACTCTGCTGGACCGTCTCACAGGGGAAGAAAACTGAGGGAAAATGAGGTCCCAGGCCCCATTCCTGCGCACCTTCTCGAAACACCTTTTGGAAGACCTGAAGGGCACACAGGATCCTGGCCGGGTCTTTGGACGCCAAGGTCTTCAGTAGTAGAATCACCACCTGCTCGTTGTACAGCTTGGCTGGCAAACGCAGGTGAACACAAAGGTCTGTGTAAACCAGGCGCTGGTGGCTCACGCCCTTCCTCCCAGCTACTCGGGAGACTGAGGTCTTAGGATCATGGTTCAAAGCCAGCCCCGGCAGAAAAGTCCATGAGGCTCTGATCTCCAATGAACCACCAGAAAACCAAAGGGGTGTTGTGGCTCAAGTGGTAGAGCACCAGCCTTGCGCAAAAGAGCTCAGGGATGGTGTCCAGGCCCTGAGTTCAAGCCCCACAACTGACAAAAACAAAACAAAAACAACAACAACAACAAAGGCATGGCAGGTGACAAGTAGGAATGAATTATGTCACAGAAAGACACTGACACCCCGGGAAGATAGAAATGGGGGTGTCGTCTACTGTGGAGGACAGGCCTTCACAAGACACACAGGCTCTCCCTGAGCCAGGCCCTGTCCCCACCCCCACCCGAAGGTCAGGAAGACTGCCCAGTACCATCAGTGCTGGAATCACCTTGTCCCAGACCTGAGCTGGGGATCCCCGGGGAAGAAGGAAGGAGATGCTCAAATACATGTACACATGCATGCATGCACACACACATGCATGCATGCACACACACATGCACACACGCATGCATGCACACACATGCAAGAATACACACATGCATGTATAGACACACTTGCATACATACACACATGCATACACACGTATGCATGCATATACACACATGCACACACATGCAAGAATACACCCATGCATGCACACACATGCATGCATACACACAAGCATATACACATGCATGCACACACGCACACACACACACACACACACCAGGCCAGGGTGGCTGTGGACTCACTCAGGTTGTAGAATCCTCTCATAGCAAGGCTGTGGTTCTCCACGGAAAGAGAATCCCTGCTGAGAACCTTTAAACTCACCTGGGGGGTTAACACCAAGTCCATCAGACTGGAGAAGAACCATACCCCAGGGTATGGGTGGGGAAACTGAGGCACGAGGCCAGGAAAAGGGTACAGTGGTTGGCCAAAGGGGTGAGAAGAACACAGAACCCAAGAATCACTGTTTCTGGACATCGAAGGAGGAAGACAAGGGACAACAAATTAATTATAGAAAAGAGGTGTCCTGGGCTGGGAAGGTGGCTCAGTGGTAGAGCGCTCGCCTAGCATGCACGAAGCCCTGGGTTCAATCCCCAGGACCACATATACAGAAAAAGCCAGAAGTGGCGCTGTGGCTCAAGTGGTAGAGCACTAGCATTGAGCAAAAGCTCAAGGACAGCACCCAGGCCCTGAGTTCAAGCCCTAGGATAAAAAACAAAAGAGGTGTCCTTTGCAAATGCCCTGCTGTCTTCCTTCCTGTTCAGGACTGTATCACAACATGGCCATTTGCCAAGGCACCATGAGCAGCCCTCTTCCCCAGAGGTTAGAAGCAGCAGCAGGATGCCCGCCTCCTTCCCTCCCCTCTCTCCCCTCTCTGCTGCCAACATTAGGCTCAAACTTAGGGCCTGGGCATTGTCCTTCAGTTTCTTGCTCTAGGCTGGCACTCTACCACGTGAGCTGCACCCCAACTTCCAGCTTTTTGGGTGGCCAACTGGAGATTCGAATTGCATGGGACTTTCTCGCTGTGGCAGGTTCTGAACTGTGATCCTCGAATCTCAGCCTCCTGAGAGGCTAGGATGACAGCCGAACCACAGGTGCCTGGCTCAGGGTTTGTCTCTCCAGGAGTCACAGAGGACTTATTTGCTGGTGGAGAGTTCCTCTTACTCTACCTGCTCCGGGAAGCCTGGTGTGTGTGTGCATATATATGTGTGTGTGCGCACACGCGTGTGCCTGTGCATGTGTGTGACTAGGCACCTCCCCGGGGAAGCCATCGCCCGCAGAGGAGACACACAGGGCCAGCCAAGGACACGCCTGGCCCACACACACGCACCAGCTTGAACAGCATGTTCGTGATATTTTCCACCTGGGACTCCAGGTTGATGCCACCATAGCCGCTTTGCACCAGGGCATCCAAGAGCTGGCAGAGGCACTGTGGAGAGAGAGCAGAGTCAGGGGCAGGCCACCCGCCCCTCCTCCACCTGAGCAAACACGCTGTCCTCACAGCTGTGTCTGAGCATCATCAAGTTCAATGTCTAGCCCTTCCCTGTCCGAGCCGCAATGGTTCCTTTTTCCCTGCCCACTTGATTTCACACCACCTTTATTCCACATGGATTTTTTTTTTTTAGGGCGGTTCAACACTTCAAAGAAGCCAAATAAATTGATCATGACCCAAAGCCAGATGCCAGGAGGGCCAAGATCTGAGGATCAAGGTTCAAAAGCCAGCCTGGGCAGAAAAGTCCATGAGACTCTTATCTCCAATGAACCATCAAAAAGCTGGAAGTGACCCAGCAGCAGTGGCAGCAGCTTACCTCCTGCTACTCAGGAGGCTGAAATCTGCAGATGTGGCTAAAGTGATAGAGTGACAGCCTTGGGACAGCACCCAAGCCCCTGAGTTCAAGCCCCAGGGCACACAAAATCAATCTCTCTCTCCTTCTCTCTCCCTCTCTCTCTCTCCTTCTTAGTTATTTCTCAGGTAGGATCTCAAGTAGGAAGGATTCATTTTGGCCTGTGATTTCCTAGGTTTCAGTCCACATTTCACTGGCTCCATTGCTATGAGATATTTCTCAGGAATGCAAGGATGGTTTGACCCTGTGGTGAAAGGGAGCATTATGGCAGCAGGAACATGTGGTAGAGCAAAGCACATCAGGTTATGGTAGCCAGGAAGGGGAGGAGGGGGGAGGAGGGAGGAGACAGACAGAGAGACAGAGAAGGAGAGAGAAAACAGGAGAGATACAGAGACAGAGACAGAATGCACAGAGACAAGATACATTATTCAATAACTGCTCCCCAGCTGGGCACCAGTGGCTCAAGCCTGTAATCCCAGCTACTCAGGAGGCTGAGATCTGAGGATTGCAGTACAAAGCCAGCCTGGGTAGGAAAGTCTGTGAGATTCTCTTATCTCCAAGTAATCACAGAAAAAGCTGGAAGTGGTGCTGCGGCTCAAGTGGGTAGGGTGCTAGCCGTGAGCATAAAGGAGCTCAGGGACAGTGCTCAGGTCCAGAGTTTGAACCCTAAGGCCAGCCTCCTCCAAAAAAGAAGGAAGGCAGGAAGGCAGGAAGGCAGGAAGGAAGGAAGGAAGGAAGGAAGGAAGGA